CCAGGATCATGACAGGAACAAATAGAGGCAAAAATTGCACTTCATGGAAACATTTTTATAAACCTTCAAAATCCTGTACTGGCACCAAGTGGCCCTAAAGATTGTCGACAGCTCTCTAAAGAGCTTTAAAAAAATGTGAATATGTGTAAAAATAGATATGTAAAATGGAAAAAGAGTGTATGCCCATGCAAATTCACACACACTATGACCTGGGAAAACGTATGTCTGAAAACAAAAGAAAATAGAAAAATGGAAAAACTTTGAAAACTTTTGGGAAATTAGTGTTTTTATTTTTTACACACATCAAGTAGTTCTATCATTATCAGATCATTTACAGTTAAGTAAAAATAGATATTTGACAATTTCAGAAAAATCAAACACAACCTAATTTCTTCAGTCTTCAGTAGTCTGATGTGTTTCATGGTCCCAAACAGTCTTCTCCTTTAGTCACAATTGTATGAAAAATTAGGATCACAGTGGACTGAGGAACAACCTCACAAACATAACTGTCATACTTATAGACCATGTGAGCCTCTTTAAACTCGTCGTTTTAATTTTTTATGGCTCACAAACATATTAAACAAAATTTCTGATAAACACACCAAACGATATGTTCCCACCACCAAAAAGCTATCAGGCAAACATTTGTTATTGAATAAAGTGTTATGTAATGTGTACCACCTTTTAAAATGTAAACATTATTTGTAATGTAACAACATCAAAGGGAAAAGAAATAATCAAATGTTTACAGGAATATCTGATTATTGTAAAAAAAAAATTTACATTAACTGAGTGAGAGATTTTCTTTTTTCTTCTACAGCCTTGTATGTTCTCTGAACAGCTTCTGAAAGTGGCTCTGCATCCTTAGCTGCTTCATTTCCAATAACACCTCCCATTACTCCTCCTCCTGCTGCTGCTGCTCCCACCAAGCCTACTGCTCCAGCAACTACTAGTGTTGTTTGATCCTCTGCAGCTGGCACATGTGCTGATGTGAAACGCTTTGTTGCAACATTCACCAATTCTGTGTTCTTCACAGCTGTAGTAGCCAGCGTTACTACACCGAAAAAACACAAAGCCCCAGTTCCAGTCCCTGCCATTTGGATCATACACATCATATCAGTTAGCCGGGTTTCTCATCTCTTCAGCTATTTGCCAACAACCCTGACACCAGATAATTAAAATGTTTTCTTTGATGTATGTAGTACTAGTATGTGCAGTGTATACATCAAGAAAAAATAGGATGCTTTTTTCCTTTTCATTACCTGGATAATAATTATAAAAATCTCACTTAAACCTGATAAGAGACTTTCCTTTCTCCACTATAGCCTCATATGTTCTCTGTGCAGCGTCTAATGGGGACTTAGCATCATTAGCTGCTTCATATCCAAGGAAGCCACCAAATACTCCTCCTGCTGTTGCTGCTGCCAGACCTGTGGCTCCAGCAACTACTAATGCTGTTTCTCCTGCCGCTGCTGCCGACACTCCCATTAATGCTGGAGCCTTTTTTACAGCGTTCATTAACATTACGTTATTCATGGCTGTGACAGCTAATCCAACCATTGCTGCTACACCAAAAAAAGCACCGAGCAAAGCTCCTGTTGCAATCCCTGTCAGTTTGGTCAGAAAGCTGTTGCACACATCAGTTTTAGCCTGGTTTCTGATCTCTTCTGCAGTTTTATCTGGCATTGAGTACGAAATGTGCTCTACCCGTTTCTGTATTGCCGTCTCCACATGTTCCAGCATTTTATTTGTGTAGTAGCCTCCTTTTGTTTCCACCACCATTTTTTCTATTGTTTTCAGTAACTCCTCCACCTGGAACTGGTTGCTCCTGTAGTTATTTGGCTGGTTGTTGTTCCAATGTTTGTTATCAAAGACGTGGCACCGACCACCACACTTTGACACCAGATCACTCAGATTTTTGTTCTGACTGACAAAATCTTCAATTTTCATCTTTTTGTGGAGCTGTTCACCGTGAGTGAAAACAACGACAGAATATTTTAGAGCTTCCTCTGAGAAATACTGAACTATCTTAGTGACGACAGCCTGCTCGTGCTTTGTGAATTTACCCACTTGAAGCACAATGAGAAAAGCATGAGGCCCAGGAGCACACTCTGTCATACAGCTCATTATCTCAGGCTTCAGATCTTCCTCAGACCTTCCTGTATCAAAGAAACCAGGGGTGTCGATAAGAGTGATGCTTCTTCCATTGACTGTTTTGGTTTCTGTTTTGCATTTCATTGTTCCAGAGTTTGGAGAGGGGTAGGTGGCAAAGAGCTCCTCTCCAAGAATGGTGTTACCCAGGTGACTTTTTCCTGATCCAGTTTTTCCCAGCAGGACCAACCTCATCATTGTTGACTCTACAGGAGAACAATGACTCTGTTAAGAACATTTGCCTCTCTCTCTTTTTTTTCCCTTTTTTTTTGCTGCTGCAAAGAGAGACGTTTCTTTGTGGTTTGAGGTTTTGAACAGTAAGCAGTACATGGTTTATAGTTTTACTTACAAAAAAACCACACTTCTAAATGAAAAACTAGTGTTAGAGCCAAAGGGGTTTACTGGAAGAAGTATCTGGTAATTAAAAAAGGAAATCATTAGGAAGGATAATGAAATATTGGACTGTCTGAATAATCCACTCCATTAAGAGTTTGAGCTATTGCCCTCAGGCTGTTAATTTAGTAAATTTAGATGCATTACTCCAGCACTTTGGGTATTATTATTTTTCATTCTTTCTCAGTATTCTCTACTCACCTGGATCGTGGACCTTTTGGTGAACATGTTGAGAGAAATTGTCATTTTGGAAAACATCAAATGCCTGCAAAGACAACAAAGTATCAACATCAATAGCAATTCCTGTAAAAACTCATCAGATGCAAATGCAGATGAAAAAAGTAATTATTATTATCTTGTGTAGTT